GGGACGCCCTAACCCCAAAACGAGCCTAGCACAAACAAATAATTTTGACGCCGGCTCATATGATACATAGATCGGTAGATAGATAGATAGATAGATAGATAGATAGATACACAGATAGATAGATGTTAGCATGTTCATACACACGCACACATACGAACATACCCAACATCACATGATACGATCTACTTATATCTTAAATAGGATGCAGGCAACAGTTGAATGAAATGAAGAGAATCGAATAGAATAGAACCGAATAGACATAATGCACTGTACTAAAATACGATGTGATATAGTGCGATTATACATACACAGACATATCTATGCATGTAAATGAACAAACCGTTCCTGCCCAAATAAGTAAGTAGAGATATTTACTTATTGAGTGATCCATATAGTTAGTTATGTATTTGATCTTACAGACATGTACTTATACACATACCAATAAATAGATAAATAAATAAATAAATATATATATATATATATATATATACTGCAGAGATTAAGTGGCAATGGTGTCCTACGTAGTGAGGGCTCGCAGGGCTGAGCACATATACTCCGCATTGAAGTGTAACACGCCGCACCGGAAGCTCTCATGGGTTTAGGGTTTAGGGTTTAGGGTTTAGGGTTTAGGCATCCTTTGGCTTACACGCTCCGTCCCAAACCCTCTACCTTACATTTTCAAATCTACACTCCCGAATCCCGATGCCTAATCCAACAACTTCATAGACCCTGGCACTGGAGCCCAAAACCCGGATGCTCCTGAAACCTCATCTCCTGAACCCCTACAAGCATTAGCAGGCTGCACCCGAAAATCCCACAACCCCGTTTCCAAAAAGCACTGATAGATGTCACATCAAATACATACTCGCATATACAACACCCACAGTAGGTGCACACACGTACACAGATATATATATATATATACATATACATATGTATATCAGGACATACGCGTGTATGAAGGTATATAATCCCCCAAAGCTCTTACAGGTCCTCCTGCGGTGCGCGGAGTTCGCCATGTCGGACCGGTTGATCTTCAGAGTCGTTTGTGCCCTCTCAGTAACAGTGCTTAGAGCTTTGGGGATTTCGGGAGGGTGTAGGATTTGGGGGTCCAGGGAGTTTAGGGTTTGGCTTGTAGGATTTACGGTTTAGGGTCTATGGCTCAAGGTTTAGAGTTTGCCGTTCGTAGTGAGTTTATTGTTGAGAGTCGATCGGGTTTAGGACGGTCTAGCGTATAGTATTCAAAGAAACCCCACATGATCCAGCCTTCGGCATGCAAGAATGCAAGATGCCAGTTCATAAGGTGCATAGATAAGTGGCCATTGTAATCTCCAGACCACGCTCATGGGTTTAGGGTTTAGGGTTTAGGGTTCAGGGTTTAGGGTTTAGGGCTCAGGGTTTAGGGTTTAGGGTTCGGGGTTTAGGGTTTAGGGTTCAGGGTTTAGGGCATGTGCTTCGTGGATGTCTGGAGAGGACGAGTCGTCACTTGCTGCAGCTGCAGCTGCCTCGTCACCTTCTTCATATTCGGTGTGATCCTCGCTATTAGTCTTATTAGTCCCTTGGCAGACTTCGTGGACGTAGAAGTCCTCCTTCAGCTTCCCTGAGGACTTCTGGCGCTTCAAGACGCAAGAGCTGGACAACCTCACTTACGGCACCATCGTCTGATCCGGAGTTCGTGTTGAGTATATTCTGTGGGGGTTTAAGGTGGTGATGCGCATGGATTGCTGGGCCGTGTCTTGAGAGAGCCGCAAAGATGTGCGTTGCCGCCACGACATGCTGCAAGAATCGTGTGCCACATTTCCTATAGTGCCCAACTGGCCCAAATCTTTCACGATCCCTGCAGCCACAACTTTCAAACTGCAGACAGCTTACCCAGATTCTTCCTCGTCTCCCCTCCCCGCCGAACCCGAACCCTAAAGCCCGAACGCCTTTCTTGACGCTGGGCACCTAAGCCCCAACCCCCGAATTCTAAACCCCAAACCCTATTGCCCTCAACACAGAAATCCAAACCCTAAAACCCTAAAGCCTGAATCCTAAAAAGCCCTCAACCTCCAAACCCTAAAGTGCGAAATAGTTTCTTGTGGCCAGGCATGGCTTTGCTGAAGTATCGCCACGACCCCTATCTGAACGCTTTGGCCGGGCATTTGGTGGAAGGTGCGAAGAAGGTTTAAGTTGTCTATGAGCGGGCCAAGGATGCTAGAGGCTTCTCGTTCGAAGGATGTTCCAGGAAAGGTTGGGCATTTCGGGATCCGGTTGTGGATTGTGGTTTGGGCTTGTGAGTGCCAGGTTAAGGGTTCCTTATTTAGGGCTCAAGGTCTCAAATGGTCTAATGTAGGGGCCTAAATAACTACCTGTACTATTTTGTTTTTTTGAGGGGGTTCCTTACTATAGGTATAGTATATTGGACCCTAAAACCTTATTCTAATTATTAAGGCCCCTACATGACGTGTTGGAAAGCCCTACCTATAGTTTCCATTGTAGTTCCTTTTTTGGTTAACCAATCTTACCGATCCTATGACATACATTTGGTTAACCAAAGAAAGGAACTACAATGGAGACTATGGGTAAACCCTACACCCTCCGATAGTGCTTTCAGAAGGAGGCCGCGTCTTGCAGCTGGATGCACAGTCCTTGGTCTCCATGGCCTACTCGACGCTGTGGCAGAAAGCGTGGTTGTTCAGGCTTAAGGGCTTAGTATTCATAGCATGGGAGGAAGCACGAAGTAAGAACAACAGAAGTGTTGCTACTAGTGTCCGGATGACGACTGGGCTAAGGTCTAGCAGAAGTGACAGTGGTGGTGGTGTATCAGTAGTCGCAGGAGTAGGAGTTGAGTACAAGTGGCAGGAAAGGCGGGAGAGGTTCAGTCTGCGAATGTCGAGAGGCGGAATTAGAGGTGGTACCCAAAGGGTCCAAGTATTAATATGGTAGCTACTTTGTAGGTATTTGGGCCCCAAAAGTATATACTCTACCATAACTTGGACCCTTTGGGGTAGGAAAGAGGTAGTGTGCACGTTAGCAGGAGTGGGAGGCGGTTGCACTTTTCCGCCTGGAAGGCTCAGCGCAACATCCTACTCTATGGCTTTGGTGTTTGAACGCCTGGGTTTGCTGGGTTTAGGACCAAGGGAGAGTGCCACAATGTACCATATGTAAATGTGTGCAAGTATACACAGCTGCATATGCATATGTTCCAGCGTTCGCACTGGTTGACCGGCACCTGTACACACATAGACAGGTAGTTCGTCAGATAGACAGACAGATAGACAGATAGACAGGTAGGACATACACGAAGAAGAGTATGCGCGTGCACGCGCGTGTGTATACATAACACACGTACACAGACAAATGTAAATTCATGTATGTGTCAGTGCATATATTCATGTATATGTATATGTATATATATATATACACATACATACATAGATGTCTCCACAGCCTTTGTCTCATATATGTATATATACAGTTATATACACATCCCACTTACATTTTTTGCATATGTGTACATACATGCATACATACATACATACATACATACATACATACATACATATGTATACACATGTACACATGTATACATATATATATATATATATGTATTATACATGTACGTAGAGAGAGCGAGAGAGATAGTGACAGAGATAGAGAGGGACAGCGAGAGAGCGTTGTGGTTTTGTTTAGCATCAATTTTGCCTGTTTGTGATATCCCTGCCAGCTTGAGGAGTGGCCTCCTGGGCTTTGCGAACCCGGCTCCTTGATTTTGCTTCGCCGGGCTTTGGGACGTAGGTTCTTTTCAGGGTTTAGGGTTTAGGGTTCCTTGAAGAGTTCTTGAAGGCTTCTACAAGGGTATTTGTTTGGGATAGGGGTTCGTTTAAGTGTTCGTGTATGAGTGCCATAGGG